AGTCCGCTGGCAATATAACACGGAAAAGTATTGACGTTACTGAGATTTGCATTACAAAATGAGCTCTATCCCCTCAAGGAAGGTTCCTTGATGTTGGTGAGGGGCTCTTGATTTAGGGAATTGGATCTGTGCTCCAGTTCCCCGAATTAAGCCTGAATGCCTTCCACATCCCCCCCAGGCGCTGTATAATCCTCCGGGTTTAGCGCTTTCCCCTTGATTATGATAATAATAACAAAATGAGCTCTTTGCTATACGTTTTCTTCTAGATCTTACACAAGCTACAACGTAGGCAATTTTTATTATCTTTGATTATGTATCTTTATTATTGGCTTTAATTAAATTAAAATCTGAATGCAGTATACTGTTTTTTTAACCAGATACAGAGATGATTTAATAATTGATGAAAGAATTCAAGTTAATAATATAATGTAGATTTTCTCTCTTAGGTCTCCGGAACATTAAAGTCGGGCATTTATTGCTCTTCATTACACTGTGTAACGTGGCTAAAATATTTGGGTACGTCGGTTTGCGTGCGGCAAGCAGTAACAGCCTAATTGATCAGGCCCTGATTCACCACAAGGCCTGGTCATGGACCGCACCACGGGGGCGCTCACCCCCGAAACCGCCCTCCAGGTATCTCATCCTGGTAAAGAAACATCCCATTGTAGCTGTGACTCATGACCAACGGCCTTGAAAAAAATGTGAACGTTACTGTTGCGTTCTTTTTTAAGCTTCCTCTGTGGTCTCTGCAGGTGGAGACGAGCAGCACAAATCCGACAAGTGATGAGATAAGACAATTGCTATTTGCTTTATGTCAAGCCGGTGCTAATTGTAGCACAGGCTTGATATGGGTTCAAATCCCACTCCTTACAGTAAATTGTTTACAATCTGGTCATACGATTTCACAAGCCCTCATATTGTTTTACTGCTTATATATAAAAACTAATATTTCGTACCTTTCCTCTTTGTTGAGACAGATTAGGCTTTTCGAAATCATGACGTTATGAATAAATGTACATGTCGAACTTTTCTTGTAACTCTTGAGAAATTTCTCCCCTTTAATGTGTCCTGTGTGAGATATACTGAGATACTGTGAAACACACACATTGCAGCATACGGGCGCCTAGTAAACCTAAGAAGAGCATTTCGACGTCTTAAATAAGGAATCGTTCAGGACCCTATACACCGTGTATGTCAGGCTTATATTGGAGTATGCAGCTCCAGTTTGGAACCCACACCTAGCCAAGCACATAAGGAAATTAGAGAAAGTGCAAAGGTTTGCATGGTCCCGAAGCTAAGGGGCATGTCCTACGAGGAGAGGTTAGGGAAAATAGCCCTGACAACACTGGAGGACAGGCGAGATAGGGAGGATATGATAACGACATATAAAATACTGAGAGGAACTGACAAGGTGGACAGAGACAGGATGTTCCAGAGATGAGACACAGCAACAAGGGGTCACAGTTGGAAGTTGAAGACTCAGATGAGCCAAAGGGATGTTAGGAATTACTTCTTAGTCACAGAGTAGTCAGGAAGTGGAACAGTCTGGGAAGTGATGTAGTGGAGGCAGGATCCATACACAGCTATAAGAAGAGGTATGATAAAGCTCATGGGGCAGGAAGAGTGACTTGGTAGCGGCCAGTGAAGAGGCGGGGCCAGGAGCTGTGAATCGACTCCTGCAACCACAACTAGATGAGTACACACACACACACACACACACACACACACACACACACACACACACACACACACACACACACAAACTCATGTCTTATTCAATGGATCACCTATATTTATTTGTCCCGACACTCCTGACAACCACTCTTCCTTTTTCTTCCTTTTACTACTCTACTCTCTCTTCACTACTCTTCCTCCCTTCACAGCTCTCCTTCCTTCATTTCCTGTCACTCGCCATCCGCATTTTACTTCCTCCTCTATTTTCAGATCTTCCCTCCCCTTCCCCCCCTTCCTTCCCCCCTCCCCCTCCCCCCTACCCTCCTCCCTGTCTTTATGTCTCGCCGTCTTGGCTCCGTTTATTATTTCTTTGATTACATAAATAATATTTTCCTCTCTCTGTCTGTGTCTGTCTGTCTGCCTCTGTTAGTCTCTCTCTCTCTCTCTCTCTCTCTCTCTCTCTCTCTCTCTCTCTCTCTCTCTCTCTCTCTCTCTCTCTCTCTCTCTCTCTCGTTCTCAAGAACGAGAGACTAATTTTATAAGCTAAAATCTGTTTTCCAAAAGAAATCTCAAGGCATATTTTTATTAAGCCATACGCCATCCCACGGGGGGGGGGGGCTTGAACCCGCGGTCAGAGAGTACGTTTAATTTATTAATTATGAAAACACTAAATATAGGGACAGGATGGAGTTGGAGCTACCTGTGAGGGCCACAACTTTTCCTGGGATAGTTGACGTCTCAAACGTTGACGATAGGCGTACTGTCGACAGGAATGATAGTAACACAGATCATCATCCTAATAAACGTCAGTATAGGACTGCATATTTCTTCATGGCTGAGGGACTGACCACTTCAAACTTGCTTCTTCAAGGATGAGGGACTGACCACCTCAGACTTACTTCTTCAAGGATGAGGGACTGACCACCTCAGACTTCTTCTTCAAGGATGAGGGACTGACCACTTCAAACTTGTGACTGTGATATTGGTATAAAAGCACGATGAAGAGACAAGGCACGTTTGTTTAACACTCCCTTATATAACAAACTCTAAGAGCGACTTGAAGAGTTTCTACAGAGAGTGAAGGAGTTTAGCTCTTGTCCCCTTGTCTCCAATGAATTTTGAATAAAGAAATAAAAATTCATAACTTTTGAACGCGACAAGACAAACCACAGCGGTACAAGTGTTGTCCTCCGTCAGCATCTACGGCGGCGAGATATCGGTAAAAAATAAAATGCAGCGAATCACAGTTGGAGTCTGTGATAACCTTCCAAAGTTTACATTATGTAGAATGTTGGGTGATTTTATTGGGTTTATATGTATCTATATATATATTATATAATATATATATATATATATATATATATATATATATATATATATATATATTAAAAGATCACAGTAAACAGGTGATATCACAATATGCAGAACAACCACTGTGAAAAAATAGTGAAATTCCAAGCGCTTTCGTGACTTCTCACATTATCAAGGAACTATAACAAATAAAACATCAAGAGAAAGGCATATAAAGGGGCAAGACTGCAGCTCACAATCACGTCACAACAACAAGACTACACTTCACAGTCACATCACAACAACAAGACTACACCTCACAGTCACATCACAACAAGACTACACCTCACAGTCACATCACAACAACAAGACTACACCTCACAGTCGCGTGACAAGACCCGACTCTGTGAAACACAACTGATACTCTATCAAAGCATTACGATTTTTTATTTGTCTAATGTATCATTAAATTCTTCCCAAATTTTATCAATTATAAATGAATCCAAATTATATAAACCAAAAGAAATATTCATATTTTCAAAACTGAATTTTATGAAACATGATTCTATAATATTCCTGTCGACCATGGACTTGCTAGATACAACTTTCTCAACCTTTTAAAAATCAATTGGATGGTTAAAATCTCTCACACGAATAAATCTTAATTCGAGACTTTTACCAATTTGACCATAATAGACTTTATCACATATTTTACTGTGATTTTATTGCTATATATATAAAATAATATATATATATATATAAAATATATTATATATATATAATATATATATATAACAGTCCTCCCCGCGTCCCAAAGAAGTAAAATCCAAAAATAAATACTTTATCATTCATCACTATCCAATATCACTGTTTTTAATTGCAATATAATATAATATATATGCATATATATATTATATATATATATATATATATATATATATATATATATATATATATATATATAAATTGGGTCTACTCACAGTCCAGGGTGACAAAAAAAGAATCAAATTCCAAAATACTTCATTTTGAAAATATTTCTTTATGTTCAATAATAATTCAGTTTTATAATTAAAAAAAGTTTGGAAGAATATTAAAAGATACAAACATAATCTAAATGATAATGCATATATATATTGTATATATATTATAATATAATAAATATTCTAATTATAAATAATTTATGATATATATATGCAATAAATATATTGTGACTTCTGTATTCACAGTCAATGGTCGACAGAACTATAATAGAATCATTTCCATGAAAATTCGAGTTTGAAATACTGATATTCTTTGTTGTAATATAATTTGGTATCATTTATATTAATAAATTTGGGAAGAATTTAATGATACATGAGACAAGTAAATATTACTACTACTATAATGTCTAGCTATTTGTTCTATTATAATTACAAAAAAATATTGCTAATTATAAATAATCTTATGCATATTAATGCAAAAATATCATTGTGATCTTCCTCGTATGTTCACATGAATTTAAACCTTAATGAAGAATACTCACACTGATGAACTGGACGCTTGAGTAATACCTGAGTCTTCGTTGTGACAATATTTCTCCAACCAGCATTTTTTTTAACTCAGTAGAGAGAATATGTACTGGAGACAGTGGGAGAACAGGTAATCAGTCTCTCAGCCTTGGAAGGTGTCCGGGCTCTTTGTCTCGCTTTATCAAGGCTAAAGAACTGACTCTCGGTTCTGACTTGAGAAAGACACTGGTTGGAGTAATGCCTTCACGATGAAGATAACCAGGTGTTGCACATGTCTTATTCATCAACTTGTGGGAGTTGCACACCATTGATGTAATGACAGATGCACACTGCATATCTTCCGGTTGTAGATACATTAGCATCCTCATCCACTGCTAGTCCTTCTTTCCTTCTGCAGTTCCTGTTTATTCTCCTGCCATTTCTTTTCCTCCTGATCCACCATCTTCTGTTACTGTTCCTTGTCTTCTACATTCACAACCTTCCTACTGTATTACTGCTTTAATTAAATTAAGATTATTTTTTCTACAGGATCCTTACGGCTACGACTACATCCCCAGGGTTAGTAACCACACTCTTTGTTGTGTGCAGGGCTGATGGTATGGTTGTAGCCACGCTTGTGTGTCACGCTCTTATGGTGTGATTGCGGCTATAGGGAGGGGAATGATTTGACTACCTTAAAGGGGCCACAGTGGCATGATCTACCTACCTGTTGCCTAGGTATAGAAGTCATGCCACAGTGCCATGACCTTTATCTTAGTGTGTAGGGGTGGTATGCTGTACGTTGTGCGGCCCTATCATCACCTTACCTTTCCTCAATGACCCCACTTGTCTCTAGAATTGTGTTAGCCTTTGCTAGCTGACCCCAGTGCAAAGAAATTATTAGCATGACATCTTCGATGTACCTTTTTTTAGTAGGTCCCAGTGTACTGTAGCCCTGCACAAGTATCAAATATAATCCATATTAGACCCTGGATGCTCTTTTAGACTCGAGTGAGTCTTAGTTACACGCTAGATAGTCGACAATTCAAAAATGTAATCTCTCAGGCCATATACTGATTATTTTTTTACGGGTAATATTACGCTTGCAAATAATATAGTGTGTATTTTTATAGAATATTAACATTGCCTTTTATTATTAGGAAACAATAAGCTCTGTTGCTATAGGTTCTTGAGAATAAGCTTTCTTAGATTCAAAGCCGCTTCATCTACACTAACACCAAGGATATTTTGATCCCTAAAACAGGGAAAGTACACTTCTAACGATACATATAGCTGTGTATTATCTCTTGTCTTGTCTTTGTGTGTATAACGAAAGGTGTGCTAGCATTTATAAGTTATAGATGGTGTGTAAAGAAATACTGGAAGTCAGCAGAGCTTACTCTGAAATTTTTAGTTATACATATAATATATATGTCGTGCCGAATAGGCAGAACTTGCGATCTTGGCTTAAATAGCAACGCTCATCTTGCCATATAGGACAAGTGAAAATTTGTGTATGCAATAATTTCGCCAAAATCATTCTGAATCTAACGAAAAAAATATATTTCACTGTGTTTGTTTAGTATTAAATTATTGTAAACAAATCTAAAATATATTTAGTTGGGTTAGGCTAAAATAAATTGTTCTTGTTATAATAAGGTTAGGTAAGTTTTCTAAGATTCTTTTGGTGCAAAATTAAAAATTTTTACATTAACATTAATGAAAAAAATATATCTTTAAATGTATAAAAGAAAATTTTAGAAAGGACTTAATTTAAATGAGTTCTTGCTAATTGACCATTTTACATATTCGGCACGACATATTTAATATATATATATATATATATATATATATATATATATATATATATATATATATAATTGTCCCGTAGAGGCCTGCTTGTGAAGGAGTGGGGTGGAATTTGAAATTGGAAGGTTATTTTGAATTTAAAAGGGGTCACCGCTCTGAAAAATGTCTTATCCATAATTTTTTTTTTTTTTTGAAAATTATATTTCCCACCAAACTTTGGAAAACTTCCCTACGGGAAATTTGCGAATCGGGTTAAAATTTACCCAATTAAGTAAGAATTATTTTAATTAAGTTTTAAAAATTTTCTATAAACGTTAAAATTATTTTTTTTTAGTTTAGAATGATAAAAATTCAAATTATTGCACCAAATTCCCAACTTTAGAAAAGCTTACTGTTTATACCCAAAATAGTAATTTTACCTAATCCCAAACGTAATATATATTTAGATATATATAAAAAATATAAAATAAACATAATATATATTTATATTGTTATTATGAATGATATTTCGAAATTATTGATATACAAATTTGTTTATATTAAAAAATTGCTGTATAAAACAAAATAGCAATTTTATATTACATATATAATATATATATATATTTTATATATATATATATATATATAATAAAATATATATATATATATAAAAATATATATATATATATATTATATATATATATATATAATTTTATATATATAAAATATAATATATATATATACATATATATCAGCTACGAAGGAAATTTAAAGAACGTAGCATTGCTAGAGTGCTGCTGTGTGTTTGTTGACAGTTGAGACAATGAGCACAAAAAGGCTTGTTGTATATGAGAGCAAGAGAAACGTAAAATACATGAGAGGTTCTTGTACATATTATCACGGTATTGTGTATTAACAGGTAAACACTAAGATTAAGACAGCCAACTGCCGGCAGTTGGCTGTCTTAAATCAAAGAGGACATAAGTTGGCTGTCTTAAATCAAAGAGGACATAAATACATAATCATAACATACGTAAGACCTATTTCTTATATCACGACAAAAGCTGGTAATAAAAGTATGTTTACAACGGAACCCTTTCTGGTATGCCACATTACGTTTATTCTAGTAGAGAAAGGAACTGTATTTTCGGTACGTGCTGCGTCATACAAACTGTATCTAACTGCAACTAGATCTAGTAATGGGTTCTTTTTCTTCGTTCCTACCGGCGAATAAAATATCACCATCACCTCCATGTAGTTAAGAGTTCAGTTATGGTACGTTTTGACGAGCCTATTACAAGCCAGTGTTGTAAAGCATGAGGTGAGGCTTGTTGTGTAGTGGGAAGAGGAAGAGTATCGTACATGAACTCTTGCCAGGTATCACCTGGTGATAGCCGTCTCAGCTTTCTCACTGTCTCAAAGCGCATGCAATGACCACCTCGCTCTTTGCTGACTCTGTGCGCTCTGTGGCTTCCAACATCACACTGCCGCGGCTCGTCCAGTGTAACTCTTAACCTCGCACTCAAAACAGTCTATGAAAGCCAGGAGTGTTGCTTATTTACGTTGAAGTCATTAGGTCCTTCCTAGGAGAGACCCACAAATATCAATTAACTCACAGGTGTCTATTGACTGCTGGACAACGAGCAGCATTTGTCAGGAAATTTACCCATATGTTTCGCTGCCCAGCACTGAACCCGAATCCTTTCGATTTTGAACATAATATACTATCACTGTTGCCACACATATATTCTCCTAAAATACAAACGTGATTAAAACCAAAAGATGAGAGGTCCCAGCAGTGGCGTCCTCTTACTGGGGTATAAAAAAATGGAGTACGGCAGCACTTCAACCTTTGTAGATCACACTGTACGCAACAGAAAACTCACTTGTAATGACTATGTAATTATTTATAATTACTATATACGCACTATACACATTTGCAGATCTTCATAATTAATATCTCTGTATGTTCAAAATAAAAAACAACGTATGTGTCCAGTGATCAAGTGTCTGTTACGACTTGATACCCCGGGTGTTGGTTAGCCTCGTGGGACAGAGAGCTAACCTGCCTCTCTCTTTTGGCAAGCAATTGCCAAGCTTCAGTTACATACAACACTAGCTCAGAGGGATAATAAGAGGAAGGTAGGGAAGCGGGGGAGGGCGAGGCTGGTGAAGCTGGTAACCTGATACTAGCTCTGCCAGAAATAACAGGTAGCCAGGGCCCCAGCATGTCCACCATGTTGGCGCGCGCGATCCTCCTGTTTTACGGTCCCTTCCCAGTAAGTAAATATATAAGTAAATAAGTCAGTCATTCAACAAGTACATGTTTGATTTTGACCTCATAAATAATTTTATACATACGCCCATGCAACTATACTTGTGATACTGAACATTATTCCCCAGACCACACAATATATATCATTCTTAAGAACTTCATTGCATCAACAAACATAGCAAGAGACAGCAATTATAAACCAAGGTAGATGAACTGTCAAAAATACCCTAGAAAGTTTTTCCTTGCAGACCAAGTTGTAGATCAATTGAATGGTTTGCAAGAGGAGGTATTAAATCCTACACCAACTGCAAATATGAAAAATTTTGATATGCTAAATGAATAATAAAAGACGGGGCCCTGGAACAGGGGTCTGCTCACGCAGCTACAAATAGATAACCACAAATAATCAAAAATAAATAATTACACATGCATAATCACATATAGATAATCACATATAGTACAGTAATTTTAAATATTCTTTTGCTGTCACCTTAAATTGGCCATCCACTGGATCTGTCACATGAAAAAGGCTATCAGTGTTTCATACCAATCAAAATATATCTTGAACAACTCATGATGTTCATTAATTCGTATGCCAATATATATGTAGTAATACATGACAAAAATAATGAAAGAAAATGTAGCCAGTGTGGGTCCCTTGCGGGTTTAGCTCCTAGTTATGATTATAATGTAGTCAGTATATATATATATATATATATATATATATATAATATATATATATATATATATATATATATATATATATATATATATATATATATATATATAATGTCGTGCCGAATATGTAAAACTGGTCAATTAGCAAGAACTCATTTAAAATTAAGTCCTTTCTAAAATTTTCTCTTATACGTTTAAAGATATTTTTTTATCATTAATGTTAGTGTAAAAATTTTTAATTTTGCTCCAAAAAGATCTTAGGAAACTTGCCTAACCTTATTATAACAAAAACAATTTATTTTATCCTAACGCAACTAAATATATTTTAGATTTGTTTACAGTAATTTAATAGTAAACAAACACAGTGAAATATATTTTTTTTCATTAGGTTCAGAATGATTTTGGCGAAATTATTGCATACACAAATTTTCGCTTGTCTTACATGGCAAGATGAGCGTTGCTATTTAAGCCAAAATCGCAAATTCTGCCTATTCGGCACGACATATATATATATATATATATATATATTATATATATATATATGTCGTGCCGAATATGTAAAACTGGTCAATTAGCAAGAACTCATTTAAAATTATGTACTTTCTAAAATTTTCTCTTATACGCTTAAAGATATATTTTTTTCATTAATGTTAATGTAAAAAAATTTAATTTTGCCACCAAAAGAATCTTAGAAAACTTACCTAACCTTATTATAGAAGAAAAATTTATTTTAGCCTAACTCAACTATATATATTTTAGATTTGTTTACAATAATTTTAATGCTAAACAAACACAGTGAAATATATTTTTTTCGTTAGGTTCAGAATGATTTTGGCGA